AGCAGTACTTACTATAGACATAACTTCACAGTAAAGTATAGCAGTACTTACTATAGACATAACTTCACAGTAAAGTATAGCAGTACTTACTATAGACATAACTTCACAGTAAAGTATAGCAGTACTTACTATAGACATAACTTCACAGTAAAGTATAGCAGTACATACTATAGACATAACTATCACAGTAAAGTATAGCAGTACTTACTATAGACATAACTTCACAGTAAAGTATAGCAGTACTTACTATAGACATAACTTCACAGTAAAGTATAGCAGTACTTACTATAGACATAACTTCACAGTAAAGTATAGCAGTACTTACTATAGACATAACTTCACAGTAAAGTATAGCAGTACTTACTATAGACATAACTTCACAGTAAAGTATAGTGCTTACCATAATGTTAGCTCCAGCAGGTCCGAGCTGTTGTTTACATGTTAATGCCGAACGGAGTTCTGCGCATGCGCGGCCGTGACTTGGTAAAAAGAAGGCAACGAAGCATACATCAGATGCATCCTTCATATCTGCTCCAAAAGTGGCCGTTTCCATGGAGACGAAGTCATGATGCCTACGCTTGGCGAGCTCGCCAAGTGGTTTTGGACACCCCTGCAATAGCCGTTGCTTGAGGAAGTGACGTCACGATGCCTACATATCCACCCTACGCGGCCCGATGCCTACCGTTTTGGACACAGTCTATGGTTTGGGTTTTAGATTGTGAGCTTATTGTCTGACCCACTCAGTAACAGAAGGTGGCAGTAATGCTCCACTAGTTGGCTGCCAACCGCCGTAAAACCCAAAGAAGAAGAAGAAGAATGCTGCCCGCCTCTTCCCTTGACCTCCGGCCATGCGGCGGCCACCACACCACCTTTATAATCTCTCTCTGTTATATTGTTTGCAATAAATGGCCCTACAGGGGTTCTGAATATTGGCCGTGGTCTCTTCTCCATCTTTCTAAGTTACGGCCTAGAGCCGGGTCGTAACAAACCGATAAATTTCATTTCATTTCATTTTCAACCCCTTTGTCCATTTCTGGGTCAGGGGGGGGTGGCAATGAGAGCTGCCCCCAACGCTCATAGCACCAGTCCCTCTGATCCTCTGCAGGGGGTGAGTCCACAGGAAGATGGCTGCTCCGTCAATTGAGAAACAGCCTTGATCTTTCAGTGGGGGCTTCAGGCAACGTGGGGTTAAGTGTCTTGCCCAAGGACACAACGACAGCAGACATTAGTGGGAGCCGATAAGCCGAAACCGATAAATAACCGATAAATAACCGATAAAAAACTGATAAAAATCCGATAAATATCCGATAAATCATTGATAAATAAAAGATAAATAACTGATAAAAAAACGATAAATATCCGATAAAAACTATTCCAAAGCACTTTATCAAAAGAATATGAACTAAAGATGATTTCCAGGACTTTAAAAACAGGATTAAAAAGTTTAACATGGTCCTCACAGTCTCAGACCCTGGTCCTCACAGTCTCAGACCCTGGTCCTCACAGTCCCAGACCCTGGTCCTCACAGTCACAGACCCTGGTCCTCACAGTCTCAGACCCTGGTCCTCACAGTCTCAGACCCTGGTCCTCACAGTCCCAGACCCTGGTCCTCACAGTCTCAGACCCTGGTCCTCACAGTCTCAGACCCTGGTCCTCACAGTCTCAGACCCTGGTCCTCACAGTCCCAGACCCTGGTCCTCACAGTCTCAGACCCTGGTCCTCACAGTCCCAGACCCTGGTCCTCACAGTCCCTGGTCCTCACAGTCCCAGACCCTGGTCCTCACAGTCTCAGACCCTGGTCCTCCCTGGTCCTCACAGTCCCAGACCCTGGTCCTCACAGTCCCAGACCCTGGTCCTCACAGTCTCAGACCCTGGTCCTCACAGTCTCAGACCCTGGTCCTCACAGTCCCAGACCCTGGTCCTCACAGTCTCAGACCCTGGTCCTCACAGTCCCAGACCCTGGTCCTCACAGACCCTGGTCCTCACAGTCTCAGACCCTGGTCCTCACAGTCCCAGACCCTGGTCCTCACAGTCTCAGACCCTGGTCCTCACAGTCCCAGACCCTGGTCCTCACAGTCTCAGACCCTGGTCCTCACAGTCTCAGACCCTGGTCCTCACAGTCCCAGACCCTGGTCCTCACAGTCACAGACCCTGGTCCTCACAGTCCCAGACCCTGGTCCTCACAGACCCTGGTCCTCACAGTCACAGACCCTGGTCCTCACAGTCACAGTCCCTGGTCCTCACAGTCTCAGACCCTGGTCCTCACAGTCACAGACCCTGGTCCTCACAGTCACAGACCCTGGTCCTCACAGTCACAGACCCTGGTCCTCACAGTCCCAGACCCTGGTCCTCACAGTCTCAGACCCTGGTCCTCACAGTCCCAGACCCTGGTCCTCACAGTCTCAGACCCTGGTCCTCACAGTCTCAGACCCTGGTCCTCACAGTCCCAGACCCTGGTCCTCACAGTCTCAGACCCTGGTCCTCACAGTCACAGACCCTGGTCCTCACAGACCCAGACCCTGGTCCTCACAGTCACAGACCCTGGTCCTCACAGTCTCAGACCCTGGTCCTCACAGTCACAGACCCTGGTCCTCACAGTCCCAGACCCTGGTCCTCACAGTCTCAGACCCTGGTCCTCACAGTCACAGACCCTGGTCCTCACAGTCACAGACCCTGGTCCTCACAGTCTCAGACCCTGGTCCTCACAGTCACAGACCCTGGTCCTCACAGTCTCAGACCCTGGTCCTCACAGTCCCAGACCCTGGTCCTCACAGTCTCAGACCCTGGTCCTCACAGTCCCAGACCCTGGTCCTCACAGTCCCAGACCCTAGTCCTCACAGTCCCAGACCCTGGTCCTCACAGTCTCAGACCCTGGTCCTCACAGTCACAGACCCTGGTCCTCACAGTCCCAGACCCTGGTCCTCACAGTCTCAGACCCTGGTCCTCACAGTCCCAGACCCTGGTCCTCACAGTCCCAGACCCTGGTCCTCACAGTCTCAGACCCTGGTCCTCACAGTCACAGACCCTGGTCCTCACAGTCTCAGACCCTGGTCCTCACAGTCACAGACCCTGGTCCTCACAGTCCCAGACCCTGGTCCTCACAGTCACAGTCCCTGGTCCTCACAGTCACAGACCCTGGTCCTCACAGTCTCAGACCCTGGTCCTCACAGTCACAGACCCTGGTCCTCACAGTCCCAGACCCTGGTCCTCACAGTCCCAGACCCTGGTCCTCACAGTCACAGACCCTGGTCCTCACAGTCACAGACCCTGGTCCTCACAGTCCCAGACCCTGGTCCTCACAGACCCTGGTCCTCACAGTCTCAGACCCTGGTCCTCACAGTCTCAGACCCTGGTCCTCACAGTCCCAGACCCTGGTCCTCACAGTCTCAGACCCTGGTCCTCACAGTCTCAGACCCTGGTCCTCACAGTCCCAGACCCTGGTCCTCACAGTCACAGACCCTGGTCCTCACAGTCCCAGACCCTGGTCCTCACAGTCCCAGACCCTGGTCCTCCACACAGTCTCAGACCCTGGTCCTCACAGTCACAGACCCTGGTCCTCACAGTCACAGTCACAGACCCTGGTCCTCACAGTCCTCACAGACCCTGGTCCTCACAGTCTCAGACCCTGGTCCTCACAGTCACAGACCCTGGTCCTCACAGTCTCAGACCCTGGTCCTCACAGTCTCAGACCCTGGTCCTCACAGGCAGAAGGAGCAGCAGGGAGTAGCAACAGCAGCAGGAGCAGCAGCAGCAGCAGCTGCAGCACAGAGCAACAGCAGCAGAGGGAGCAACAGCAAGCAGGAAGCAGCAGCAGACAGCAGCAGCAGCAGAGCAACAGCAGAGGCAGCAGCAGAAAGGTGCAGCACATCAGTCAGTAGCAGCAGCAGCAGCAGAAGGAGCAGCAGCAGCAGCAGGAGCAGCAGCCGCAGCAGCAAGCAGCAGGAGCACAGCGCAGCAGGAGCAGCAGCAAGCAGCAGCAGCAGCAGTGAGCAGCAGCAGCAGCAGGAGCAGCAGCAGGAGCATCGGGGGGTGCAGCAGGAGCAGCACAGCAGCAGCAGCAGGAGCAACAGCAGAGTCCTGGGCGTCTGCTCTGTCCCAGTCTCATCGACAGCAACATCACAGAGAACCTGGAAATATAGAAAACTAAAATCAAACTTGTTTTAGTTATGATTTTGTTGTTTGTTGTGAAAAGTAAAGAGTCATGTGTATTATTTACATCAACTACATATTGTGCATGCGAGTACTTATACTTATACTTGATATTGAATACATTAAACTCAAAGTTTAGTAACGGTAGCTTTTTCAGAGGATATAAAGTGAATAAGGATCAAAACATGTTCAAACTTCATTTTACAGATGTGTCAGTTATTATTATAGATCTAGATCCATGGATGTGTCAGTTATTATTATAGATCCATGGATGTGTCAGTTATTATTATAAGATAAATGTCAGTTATTATGTATGTCAGTTATTATTATATAGATCCATGGATGTGTCAGTTATTATTATAGATCCATGGATGTGTCAGTTATTATTATAGATCCATGGATGTGTCAGTTATTATTATACGATAAATGGATGTGTCAGTTATTATTATTATAGATATAATGGGATGTGTCAGTTATTATTATAGATCCATGGATGTGTCAGTTATTAAATAGAGATCCAGGCGTGTGTCAGTTATTATTATAGATCCATGGATGTGTCAGTTATTTAATTATAGATCCATGGATGTGTCAGTTATTATTATAGATCCATGGATGTGTAGTTTATTATTATGAGATAAATGGATGTGTCATTATTATTATAGATCCATGGAAGTGTCAGTTTATATTATAGATTATGTGTCTTTTATTATTATTATAGTTCCATGGATGTGTCAGTTATTATCATAGATCCCATGGATGTGTTCATTATTATTATAGATCCATGAATGTGTCAGTTATTATTATCAGATCCATGGATGTGTCAGTTATTATTATAGATCCATGGATGTGTCAGTTATTATTATAGATCCATGGATGTGTCGAATGGATGTTCAGTTATTATTATAGAATCCCATGGGATGTGTCAGTTTTATTATAGATCCATGGATGTGTCAGTTATTTATTATAATCCATGGCATGTGTAAGTCCTGCTCCCTCTGGCCATAATGCAGATTGGAGCTCTGCTGGAGTGCCCCCTGGTGTCTCGTCTCCCGTGTGTCCGGAGGAGGTGGAGATGAGGGCTGCTCTACAGTTCCTGATGAGGCACATGGTGAAGCGTGCTGTCATGAGGTCTCCCATCAAACGAGCTTTGGGCCTGGCCGATCTGGAGCGTGCTCAAGCCATGGTCGCCACACCCCAAACCCCGAGCACTCTGCCCAACCGAGTGCTGAGGCCAAGGCTTCAACGCAAATAGAGTCTTGCCGCTCCAAGACCAAACATCGCCATGACCACTAACGCTCCACACACGCTCATAGGGAGCGGTGCCACTGACTGCGAGACGGCACTGCTCGTGAGTATTCCCGCGGAAAAGACTACCGAACGTAGACCGGCATGGGCCCTTGGACTGTTATGCTGGCCACACTGACACTACTTTCGCGTGCTGAGACGCCGTTAGTTTATTTATGTTAATATTGCCTTCTCTTATCTCTTGTCCGGATCCATTGTGTTATTATAATGTGCTCTTCTCTTTTAATTGACAAGCATGTGTCTTTTCTTGTCCACTTTGTAACATCAATAATTTTAAGTGTTTCAAGCTTGAAGGTGGTGTGATTACGATGCCTCTGGTATTTAACTGATTAATGCAAAAATGGTTTTGAATTATCAGAAGTAGGGGAGTGTGGTGACAGTTTTTTGGAGTAATTACATTAAAACCAGCCGCAGCAAATACACGGACGTCAAAGGCCTTTTATCAATGCAGACAACCTTCTGACGCCATGCTGAGCTTTTGTGAAGGACCCTGCTGACTGTCTGTCACACCCTTGTGTCTTTCCGTCTTGCATCTGTATGACCTGCACTTCCACCATTGAGTGCAGGGAAAATTGCTGCTGGCCAAACTTTGCGTGTTTAGTATACAAACGAGCTCAACGACTTTTACTGCCGCTGTTTGAATCTCTCCGCTGATCCCCTGCCTTTTGTCTCCCCGAATGTCAGGGTGCCTTCACAGTGACTCAGGAGGAAGTCAGGCGTGTCTTGTCCAGGACCACAGCTCGGAAAGCCGCAGGCCCGGACTGCATTCCTCCCCGCGTCCTGAATCTGTGCTCCGAGCAACTTGCCCCTGTTTTAACGGACATCTTTAACTTGTCACTCAGGAGCTGTACGGTGCCGGTGAGCTTTAAAAGGTCCACCATTATTCCAGTTCCTAAGAAGTCTCCAGTGACATGTCTCAATGACTATCGTCCTGTGGCCCTCACGTCTGTTCTTATGAAGACTTTTGAGCGGCTTGTGCTGGACTTCATTAAGAGCCAGATCCCTGTGAGTGTTGACCCGCTCCAGTTTGCTACAGACAGAACAGGAGTGTGGAGGATGCATCTCCTTTGCTCTGAACTCTGTCTACAGTCACTTGGACACTAGTAAATCTGTCGCGAGAATGCTTTTCATCGATTATAGCTCTGCTTTTAATGTTCTTTTCCCAAGCATATTGGTTGAAAAACTAATGTCCCTTGGTCTGAATGTTGCCATGTGTAAATGGATTTTTAGCTTTTTAACTGACAGATCTCAGAGTGTAAAAATCAATGACTGTTTTTCTGATGTTGTTTCTGTGAGCACTGGTTCTCCTCAGGGATGTATTTTGAGTCCTTTGCTTTTTACTTTGTACACTCACGATTGTGTGTCCTCCTCTGACTCTAACTTGATCATCAAATATGCTGATGACACCACCATCATCGGTCTCATCAGTGACACTGATGAATCCTCTTATAGAGCAGAGATACAAAATGTGGTTCAGTGGAGTCAAACTAACAACCTCCAGCTGAACACTGCAAAAACATGTGAACTTGTCTTTGACTTCAGTCATAGCAGTTCTCACACTCCTGTTGTTATTGACAACTCCCAGGTGCAGATCGTAGAGGAGCAAGTTCCTGGGTTTAACTCGGTCTAACCTGAAATGGGTTAAAAACACTGACCGAGTCGTTAAGAAAGCTCGTCAGCGGCTCTTCTTTTTGCGGAAACTTAGAGAATTTACCACTAACTCTAAGATTCTGCTTAATTTTTATGGCTGCACCATTGAGAGTTTACTTGTTGGTTCTGTGTCTGTGTGGTTTGGAAACATCACAGATAAAGAAAAGCTTTAAACAAGGTGCTCCGCTCTGCAAAGAGGACCGTGGGCTGTGAGCTTCCTGTTCTGGAGGTTCTTTATAAATCCAGACTTTTAAACAAAGCTCTTAGGATTGTTAATGACTCTTCTGGCCACCCTGGGAAAGCCATGTTCCAGCTTCTTCCCTCTGGCAGAAGATACCGGTCACTGAGATGCAAGACATCTCGCTATGCTAACAGCTTCTTTCCACAGGCTGTTAGGTGCCTAAACAGAGCACTTTAATTCCTGCTTTTACCTGCTTTTAAACTGCTTTTACCCCTTGTATTGTTTTGTTGATCGGTGCCACAGTGTCAGCTGTTTTTTTATTGTTTTATGTTCAGTGTATGTGTGTTTTGTATTGCATTGTGTCGTGCTTTTGTTCTGTCGGTGCACACGGAGTGCCTTTCTTGCGAACGTATTCCAATGTGGTTTTTTAACTGCACATGGCCAAATAAATGAATCTTGAATCTTGAATCTCTCTGGTCTCTCTCTGGTCTCTCTCTGGTCTCTCTCTCTGGTCTCTCTCTGGTCTCTCTCTGGTCTCTCTCTCTGGTCTCTCTCTGGTCTCCCTGGTCTCTCTCTGGTCTCTCTCTGGTCTCTCTCTGGTCTCTCTCTGGTCTCTCTCTGGTCTCTCGCTGGTCTCTCTCTGTGGTCTCTCTCTGGTCTCTCTGTGGTCTCTCTCTCTGGTCTCTCTCTGGTCTCTCTCTGGTCTCTCTCTCTGGTCTCTCTCTGGTCTCTCTCTGGTCTCTCTCTCTGGTCTCTCTCTGGTCTCTCTGGTCTCTCTCTGGTCTCTCTCTGGTCTCTCTCTGGTCTCTCTCTGGTCTCTCTCTCTGGTCTCTCTCTGGTCTCTCTCTGGTCTCTCTCTGGTCTCTCTCTCTGGTCTCTCTCTGGTCTCTCTCTCTGGTCTCTCTCTGTTCTTTCTCTGGTCTCTCTCTGGTCTCTCTCTGGTCTCTCTCTGGTCTCTCTCTGGTCTCTCTGGTCTCTCTCTGGTCTCTCTGGTCTCTCTCTGGTCTCTCTCTGGTCTCTCTCTGGTCTCTCTCTGGTCTCTCTCTCTGGTCTCTCTCTCTGGTCTCTCTCTGGTCTCTCTCTCTGGTCTCTCTCTGGTCTCTCTCTCTGGTCTCTCTCTGGTCTCTCTCTGGTCTCTCTCTGGTCTCTCTCTGGTCTCTCTCTGGTCTCTTTCTGGTCTCTCTGGTCTCTCTCTGGTCTCTCTCTGGTCTCTTTCTGGTCTCTCTGGTCTCTCTCTGGTCTCTCTCTGGTCTCTCTCTGGTCTCTCTCTGGTCTCTCTCTTGTCTCTCTGGTCTCTCTCTGGTCTCTCTCTGGTCTCTCTCTGGTCTCTCTCTCTGGTCTCTCTCTGGTCTCTCTCTGGTCTCTCTCTCTGGTCTCTCTCTGGTCTCTCTCTGGTCTCTCTCTCTGGTCTCTCTCTGGTCTCTCTCTGGTCTCTCTCTCTG